AGGTGATGATTTCCGAGGTGGCCTCTACCACGATTCCTCGGAAGGAGTGTGATCCGGGAGGTTTTGTGATCAAGATTACCTTGGGAAACGGCAAGGAGACGAATGGCATGCTTGATTTGGGAGCCGGTATAAATCTTATGCCTTATTCTATCTTCCAACAATTGGAGCTCGGAGATCTTAAGCCAACGAGGATGTGTTTGCAATTGGCGGACCGCACTCTACGATATCCGAAGGGTGTTATCGAAGACATTTTGATTCGGGTAGGCAATTTGATAGTCCCGGCGGACTTCGTGGTGCTTGATGTAGGAGAAGTCCCGAACACCGGAAACGAGCACACCATCCTACTCGGTCGACCTTTTATGGCCACTACCAATACCCTTATCAATGTCAAAGATGGTCGTGTCACCTTATCGGCTCTCGGTGAAACGGTTACATTCACTATGAACGAAGCAAGGACAATACCGTTGGCCACCGAGAATTGTTCTTACGTAGATGTGATCGAGGAGGAGGTCCACAATCTTTTTCATGCCGAAGTTTCATGTGAGTGTGACATTCCTAATGACGATGTGCCCAAGGAGCTTGATCCTGAAGAAGGAGGAGTGGTGGATCTCTTCGAACTATCCAAGGAACCCGAGCCCCGAGAAATTTCAAGTGAACTCAAACCGCTTCCACCACACCTCAAGTATGTTTTCCTTGAAGACGGAAAGAAGAAGCCCGCGATCATTTATTCGGGTCTTTCGAAGGAGGAGGAGGACCTACTCGTGGGGGTCCTTAAGGGTAACAAAGATGCTCTTGGGTGGAGTTTGAGCGATATCAAGGGGATAAGCCCGGCTACATGTATGCATCGAATCATTCTCGAAGATGAGACGAAGCCTACACGAGAGGGACAAAGGCGATTGAACCCGACGTTGATGGAGGTTGTGAAAGGAGAGATTCTCAAATTGATGCAAGAGGGTATTATCTATGCCGTGGCGGTTAGCGAGTGGGTGAGTCCCGTACACGTTGTCCCGAAGAAGAGTGGAATCACAGTGGTGGAAAACAACAAGGGCGAGCTTGTACCTACGAGGACTACGACGGGGTGGCGGATGTGTATCGATTTCCGTAAGCTAAATGCCGCCACGAGAAAGGATCACTTTCCTTTGCCGTTTATCGACCAACTCCTCGACAAACTAGCCGGCCACCCTTTCTATTGCTTTCTTGACGGATTGTCGGGATACTACCAAATCCCGATTGCCCCGGAGGATCAACCGAAGACCACCTTTACGTGTCCCTTTGGCACCTTTGCTTTTCGGAGAATGCCGTTTGGGCTTTGCAATGCCCCCGCTACTTTTCAAAGGTGCATGTTCTCTATCTTTTCCGACATGATTGGTGAATTTATTGAAATATTTATGGATGACTTTTCCGTCTTTGGTGATTCTTTTGTTGATTGTCTTGATAAACTTGGTAGAGTCTTGAAACGATGCATTGAGAGTAATTTGACTCTTAGTTGGGAAAAATCGCATTTTATGGTGCCTAGTGGGATTGTTCTAGGTCATGTCATTTCATCTAAGGGAATCGAGGTCGATAAGGCCAAAATTGATGTGATTGAACAACTTCCTCCCCCTCTTAATGTGAAAGGTGTTCGAAGTTTTCTCGGGCATGCCGGTTTTTACCGGCGATTTATCAAAGATTTTTCAAAAATTGCCCGACCTTTATGTGCTTTACTTGCTCTTGATGCTCCTTTTGATTTCAACGAAGAATGTATGCATGCTTTTAATGAATTGAAGAGAAGATTGGTCACGGCACCAATTGTGATGCCCCCGAATTGGTCTTTACCATTTGAAATCATGTGTGATGCCTCGAATTATGCGGTTGGGGCCGTTTTAGGTCAAAAAGTTGAGAAACGCCATCATGTTGTTTGCTATGCTAGCATGACCTTAAATGAGGCTCAAGTTAATTACACCACAACCGAAAAGGAATTCTTAGCTATTATCTTTGCCCTTGAGAAATTTCGTGCTTACATTGTAGGATATAAAGTTGTGGTGTATAGTGACCATGCGGCTTTGAGGCATTTGTTAGCTAAGGCTCAATCTAAACCTAGGTTGATTCGTTGGGTGTTACTTTTACAAGAATTTGATGTGGAAATCTTAGATAGGAAAGGGTGTGAGAACGTAGTTGCCGATCATTTATCACGCTTTGCTTTACCTTCAAATTCTTGTGATAAGCTTGATCTTGATGATGCATTTCCCTACGAGCATGTGTTTATTGTTGATTGTGTGCCTTGGTATGCCGATATTGCTAATTACTTGGCTAGTGGTATCTTGAATGACGACCTATCCTTCCAAGAAAGGAAGAGATTCATTGCTAAGTGTAGGTACTTTATGTGGGAAGATCCCTATCTCTTCCATCTTGGCAAAGATGAGGTCATAAGACGGTGTGTACCCGAGAAAGAGCAACAAGCCATTCTAACCGCGTGCCATTCATCGAATTGTGGAGGCCACTTTGGAGGTCGAAAGACGGGATTCAAGGTGTTACAAAGCGGATTCTATTGGCCCACTATTTTCAAAGACTCTCACGCGTTCTCTATTTCGTGTGATCGATGCCAACGTTCGGGAAATATTGGGCGAAGGAATGAGATGCCACTTAATACGTTTTTGCCGGTTGAGATCTTTGACGTGTGGGGTATTGACTTCATGGGGCCTTTTCCGATATCTCATGGGTTTGAGTACATCTTGGTTGGGGTGGAGTATGTCTCCAAGTGGGTAGAAGCTATTCCAACTAGAAGTTGTGATGCCAAGGTTGTGGTGAAGTTCGTTCAAGATCATATCATCAATCGTTTCGGTTTTCCACGGGCAATAATCAGTGATGGAGGCTCTCACTTTTGCAACCGGGTTTTCAAGAAGCTAATGGAGAAGAATGGGATAGCTCACAAGGTTGCCACCCCTTATCACCCTCAAACTTCCGGGCAAGTCGAAACGAGTAATAAGCAAATTAAGGCCATTCTCGAGCGAACCGTGAGTGCCTCGAGACGCGATTGGTCCCAAAAACTCGGAGATGCATTGTGGGCACATCGAACGGCTTACAAAGGTGTCCTTGGTATGAGTCCATTTCGTTTAGTGTATGGGAAGGCTTGTCACCTTCCGGTTGAAATCGAGCATAGGGCCTATTGGGCTATCCGGACCCTCAACTTCGAGCTTGGGGTAGCCGGGAAGGAACGACACTTGCAAATCAATGAGTTGGACGAGTTGAGGAATGAGGCGTATGAGAATGCCCGGATTTACAAAGACAAAGTCAAGAAGTGGCATGATTCGAAGATTCTACGCAAAGAGCTCACGCCCGGGATGAAGGTACTTCTTTTTAACTCAAGACTTAGATTATTTCCCGGTAAATTGAACTCAAGGTGGAGTGGCCCGTTCGAAATCGAGGAAGTATTTCCATCCGGGGTGGTCAAACTTTTTAATCCAACCGATAGGACATCTTTTCAAGTGAATGGACACCGGGTGAAACCGTATATAGAAGGAGAAGCCAAAGAAGTCCGAGTACTCTACTACCGGCTCGAGGAGCCAACTTATTCATGAGTTGACGGTTATGTCGAGCTCACGACGTAAAACCGAGCGCTTCGTGGGAGGCAACCCACGTTTTTCTTGCTTTATATC